TCTCAGTCCTGTGTTACTTCTGATACAAGTAATACAATGTTTTATTACTGTAGTGTTTCAAAAGACTTTGTAGTTATAGGAGCGCTCTAATTTCCTTCTATTTCAAGATCATTATGATTGTTCAAGGTCCTTCGGGATAAATTTTAGGGCGTGTTCTTATTTAAGAAAAAAAATAATTGGGCTTTTGACTGGGAATGTATTGAATATGGGGATCCCTTGTGAGGAATTGTCTTAATAGATTTGTCTTCTAGTCCAGGAAAAGAGGTAGGTTTTTATTTACATACATCTTTTTGAGCTTTAGTCAACATTTTTGTTTTGTTTTGCTTTTAGTGTATGCCTATCTTATTAGATAAGGCCTAAGGATTTATTTTTTTTAACATTGTCTGTCTGTCTGTCTGTCTATCTCTATCTGTCTATCTAATCTATCTAGGTCTTTGGAAACATGGTTTCTCTATGTGACCCTGGCTGTCCTGGAACTCACTCTGTAGACCAGGCCATCCTTGAACTCTGAGCTCCACCTGCCTCTGCCTCCCAAGTCCTGGGATCAGAGATGTGTGCTACCACTGCCCAGTGATTTGTATATTTTAAAATCTTTTTGTGTGTGAGTGTATGTGTATGGTATACATACACGTGTGTGTACATATGTGGGCATGGTTGTGGAGGTCAGAGTTCAACCTTGGGTGCTGTTTCTCAAGAGCTATCTACTTTTTTTTCTGAGAAAGAATCTCTCACCAGTGAATATATCTTGTCCTTGACCTACTTCTGTGGCATTAATTTGTTCACTGTGGATGTTAGAGTTCTACTTAAGTTGTGCTTTTTCAAGAGTCAGTATTGGTGTTTGCATGTTTCTGGGATATTTGTTCACTTTATTAGGTTACTCACATTCTGGTACATAATTCTTAAAGCTTTTTAAAATATTCTTGTCTATTTAAATCAACACTGATATCCCCAGTTTCTTTTTAAATTGTGTCTATTTATTTGTGTATGTGGCACTTGAATGCCGTAGCGTGTGTGTGAAGGGAAGGACAACTTTAAGAGTCTCTTCTGTCCTTTGTCATGTGTGTCTGAAAGATAAAATTCAGTCACTACGCTTGGCAGCAGATCCCCTACCTACTGAACCATCTCACCCTCTCATTGATATTTTTTTCGAAGCCAATATAACAGTTTCAAAGAACTGAATTCTGTTTTGTTTATCTCCACTCTGTTATTGTAGCCTTCTTTTAGCAAGTTCTGTATTTAATTTGCTTTTTATTTTCTAGCTCTATAAAGTGTACTGTTTGGATATTAATTTGAGATTTTCTTTTCAATATAGACTGTACAGCTAGAACTTTTCTTGACACTTTATCTGTACACTGTAAGTTTTGGTGTGTTGTGTTAGTGTTTTCACTTGCTGCAAAGTGTATTCTACAGTCAGTTTTGAGTTCTTCTGTAGCCTATTAAGATTGTATTCTTTTTCACATATTTATAAATTTTCCTTGTTTGATACTTAGATTCATTTTCTTAGATTCAGGAAATACACACAAACACTTCTTCCAGGGATATAGCTCAGTAGTAGAGGCCCTGCCTACTATGTACATGTCCCTGGGTTTAACACTAAAAACGAAAACCCAGTGTATTCAGAGTTTGTTTTGTGGTCTTGTCTTCAGTGTGCTCTGTGCACACCTGAGAAGAGTTAGTATATACTATTGTTCAATGAAATATTCTGTGTATGTCTCTTGGGTCTAATACATTAAATGTGCAAGTTCTCTATTTTTTGTCTGCTCTTTAAAATTTTTACTTATTTTTATTTCTCATGCATTGGTGTTTTGCCTGAATGTATGTCTATGAGATGGTGTCAGGTATCAGATCCCCTGGAAGTGGGCTGCCATGTGGGTGCTGGGAATTGAATCTGGGTCCTCTGGAAGAGCAGCCCTTGCTCCCAACCACTGGGCCATTTCTCCAGCCTGAGTTTGCTTTTTCTAACGATCATTGTAAGTTGGCTATACAGTTTATTGTAATCCTTTTAGTTATATTCCTTCTCCTTTTACCCTACCCTGAACCCCTTCCTATATCATTTTTTTGTTGGGCAGGTCGGTTGGCTTTACATCTGGCTTGAGGACTGGGTGTTGAGGACTGGGTTTTGAGGTACTGGGTTTGATCCTCAGCACTGAAAATAATTATCTGGTATGATTTAGTCTCAAGTATATAGAGACACTCATAACAAGGGCAGTATTCTATGGGTTTATTGGTTTTTTTTCCAGAAGCCTCTCACAGACGAGTTTTCCCTCAGACTATGTAGGGTTAAGTACCTGAGCCTGCTTAGTTAGTCCTGCTGGCTTAGCACTTCTTGAACCTTAAAAAGGAAGGCCTCTGTAGTGTTGTCTCTTTGTTTTTGTTGTTGCTGCTGCTGCTCTTGTTTTTGTTCTTTGACTTCTGAGATTTCACTCTGTAGCTCCAGTCAAGCTGGGAATTCACTGTATAGCCCATATTGTTCTGGAACTAGCATGAGTCAAGTGTGGGGATTATAGTTGTGAGCCACCTTGCCTAGAGCTAGCATGAAGTCTTAGAGAAACAAAGTGACAACTGTGAGTGTAACTTAGTTCACCTTAACTATCTAAGACGTTGAAACAGATGTCCTGAATTACTGTCATGATAGAGCCGTGTCCAAAGGTGCAATTATGAGAAATGAAGCAGATAGATACAGCATTTAGGATGTCTACAGTTAGCATGTTTAGGATGTGTAGCATATTTAGGATGTTTAGCATGTAGTCTGTGTCTGTAGGATGTGGAAGGTATGTCTACAGTTAGCATGTTTAGGATGTGTCTCCAGACATGTTTAGGGCATGTCTGCAACTAGCATGTTTCTTTGGAATCAACTTAAGCTAACTAGGCTGCCTCCTCTTGACATCTGTATATTATCTTGCCTAACACACAGAAATGCTTTCATTTTTGCCTATGATGGGGTGACTTTAAACGCTAAGCAACCTGAAGTCCTGCTGAAACTACTAGAAATGCTAGGGAGTGAGATCATTGTGAAGGTATAAAAGGTACTCAGTCAGTCCAGACTTGAGTAGGGATTCAGGAGGGACTGGAAGGAGACACTGTATTTCTACTCTATGTGAGTTAATTGACTTTAAAAGTCAACAACCTTTAAACTGTTTTCAATGGGAGGATAAAGTGTGAGCAGGATATAAGAGAAGAGCAAAAATTAACTGAGGACAGTGAATAGAGCCTGCACTGCTCTGTTTTTATTTATTTTTATATATTTTCTTTTTAATATTTTATACGTATTTACTTATATATTTTATTTAACAACTTCCAATGGTGTAATTCCAGCCATAGATTTACAGTTGGAGTCCCTTGAAGGACCTAACCATAAACGTGACAATAGTCAAGTAAGTCAAACTTTTTGAGTGTTGGAGATTTGGTCTCCAGCAATCTCTGTCCTTCACTGGGTTGAGTTCATGTGCTGATCTGTTTCTACGTGGATCTCCACCTAGGAAAAACAGATACAGCCTCTGTGGAGGAAGAAAGCAGCATCTGGAGCCTGTACATCTCTCCAGCCTCACATCATCATTCACACATAATGTCTGCATTCAGTAAAACACAGCAAAGAGAGAAAAATCAACAGCAGAAACACATCAACAGGTTCTATAGACCAAGGGTTATAAACAGGAGCTTTAAAATATGGTGATTGATAAGTTCATAAAAATAGATGCTGAAGCTGAGAATTTCACTAGAGAACTGGAATCTATTGGAAAGAATCAGGTGGGGTTCTATAACTGAAAAAGTGAACAGCACAACAATAGATGGGTGCAATCGGGGTTGAGACACCGCTAAATAGAAGGATGATGGTAAGTGGAAGAGACATTACTAAACATTATTCAACACAGATTGGTCTGTTTTGGTATCAAGACTAACCCGAGCTATGGTTAACCATGATTGCTTTACAGACTCACTAAACAGCATGTCTTAAGATTTTAGAGCTTGGAGATGAAGATAAACCATATTAGGTTATATTAGATTGTAGTTGCAATACTTAACCTTTTAATGTGTGTGGTTTCATATTTTATTAATGTCGATTTTTAAAAAAAATTATAGTAAATACATAGTAGGGAGTGATCATATATGAAGTTATCAGTTACAAGTTTGTATTTGTGTTTCCTAGCCTTTGAGCAGCAAAAAAATTTTTCACAAGTCGCCTGCTCAGCAAACCTAGAGTGTATCCGTAGAATGAGAAGTTAAGCAAATTCAGATGGAAAAGATAAACAGATGGATTTATTTTAGAATCAGGGTATTGTTTTTATTTAGGATAGCTTGCAAGGCGAACTGGCAAGTTCGCTTATTACATGCTGCTCATAAAGAGCAATTAGAAAAGAAGTTAAGGTAAATTTTGTTGGTTAGGGAACCAAGTGCCTTGCTTTTCAGTTAGGAAGGCTTTACTGACTAGTAAGACAGGAAAAAAATACTGCCGGTTACATTTGACATCCTGTAAATTGTAACATGCCTCCTGATTTCAGAAATGTAATTTAGAAGAAAAAGTAAATGTTAATCTCAGCACAAGGTCTTAGTTCTTTTGCCTGGAATTTGATAATTTGCTTAGGCAAGGTTCTGGGATGTTTTCCTACTGGGAAAATGGGATAGGACATAGAGATCTGACTGGTTTCTGAATGATGGTTGAGACTTGTATTAGGACCTAAGCATCCAAATCGCAGTGACATTTTGACTCTTAATAGTTTTTAGAGGGTATGTTTTAGGGAATTTTCATTTCTCCAGATCTTATCATTCTTAAAGTCTCACTGTTGAATTCCATAATAGTTTTGCCAATTTGTTGCCACCTGAATCTATAGCATCAATCACACTATATCTTTTAGACAGATCAAATTCTGAGATGTTTGTTGGAAATGAGAATTTCTCAATATATTCCTACTTTGAAGATTCACTGTAAGCCCAGAATGACATTTTTCTTGAGCAATCAAATATTTAAAACTTGAATTTTTTTGTTTATTCTTTACTTTCAGAATTTTTTAAGTCACATTTGACTGATAGGATGAAAAAGTTTAAGAGGAGACTGTCCCTCACGCTCAGGGGAAGCCAGACTATCGATGAGTCGCTGTCGGAGCTGGCTGAGCAGATGACGATCGAGGAAAGCAGTAGCAAAGACAACGGTGAGCATCTGCGTGGGAGGGCGTGCTTACTGCAGAGACACTGAAATCTGCTGTCCGGATGATACGCTGCTCTTGTTTATCCAGTTCTTTGGTTTCTTGGGAAACAGAAGACTGACTGGCTAATGATATATTCTGCTCTCATCCCAACACTGCCAGTGTATTGGTCTCCTATCTCTTACCTTTCTATTTTTACTAGTTCTTAAGTAAGAATATAGTCTGTGAAATTATACTAATTGTTAAGTAACTGTTTGTAAATGAAAATTTAAATACTTATGTTAAATAAGACAGGATAGTAATGTAAAATTAACGTTTGTAGCTTTATCATAGTTTTATAATAGTCTAGATTTGGATTGAATGTCTTTATAGATTACAGGGTTTATCAGATGAGTGAATTTGCTATCTTGTGTTCATAGTGTTGAGAACACTTAGAGACAAAAACATTGTTTCATTTGACAGTGCCTTTTACAATACAAAGTAGTAGCACACAAATTTTGCTGTAATAACTTAAGTAGTTTGTTAAATTGGATGCATTAAAATGTAAACTCGGTGAAAGTTTTAGACTAAGGATATTATACTTAAAGCCAAAAAACCCTGGGAATGTCCTATTAACCAGGAAGGACATGAAAATGGCTGATAATGAGCCACAGTTTGCATTGTCTGGGGAGCTCTCTTGCTTGATTTTGAAATTCTGATTAGGGATGGCAGTGTTTAAAAGCCTGATCATCTACCCCACTCTAGGTAAATGCTTCTGGTGCGAGGGGCAAGGAATTCTGCAGATTAGCAGTCATGGTCTAGGGCTGTGGATGTACTAAGGCACTGACATACTGCTTCACCTTCGGGGAGAAATCTTGCACAGGTCTCAGAGATCTTCCTTTTCTTCCTCAAATGAATCATTTTCTGAACATTGTCCATTTTATTGGCAGAGATATCCTTGCATCTGGATATCATTCTATATAGGAGGCAAAGCTGGCATTTGGCTCAAATCTTGAAAGTGATTTTGTACTTGTCTTCTAAGAGGGTCTGCTAGGTACATGGGGCACAATCCAGCTAATTCTCTTAGACCCCTGTTGAATTCTTGGTGGTACTAATAGTTGAATCCAGTTTTTTTATTCTTGTGCTAGAAACTTTGGCCAGTGTTTGCCAGTGATGCTCAGGAATAAGAGAGAGACAGTGTGCATCAAGGCAGGTGGCTTCTAAAATGCTTTCCTAGTGATTATTTGATTACCAGACAAACAATTTTTTATTAAAACTGAGTCATGGAAGATGCACTGACTTTTTAGAGAGCTAATTAACAATTTAAGCTAATTGAATGTTTTCTGGAATATTTTGGTAATTATCTTTAAACCTGATTAGTTTGTAACAAATGGTGAAATGTTGAAAATAGCTAATATTTTAAAAATAGTATGTTGTTTATTTATAATAGATCATAAAAAAATAAAAAATAGGAGTGCTGTTGGAATTCTTCCTCATCAGAGCGACTTGAAATCGTACTTGAAGATATAGGCAGACATTATTTTACTTTGGCATGAACTGCCACAGTCAGTTGCTGCTTATTCCATGTGTGTAATGTGGATTTCATCAGTAGTTTTCACAGGGATTCTAAGGTTTTTTTTGTTTTGTTTGTATCACGTCAGTGCCTACTAGCTGTACTAAACAGTCTTTCCTTAGAGAGTTTGTCTTTTCTCCTGTTTTGTATTTAGCATAAGAACTGCATAAGATAGGTTGCACACAGAGATAGAGTCCATGTCAAGATAAGAATGTACGTGACTGTACTCTTTAAAAATCTTACACGTAGCTGGGCAGTTGGAGCCCCACCTGTATTCTCAGTACTCAGGAGACAGAGACAGGATGATCCCTGGGATTTTGAGTCCAGCCTGATCTACAGAGCAAGTTCCAAAACAGCCAGGGCTACACAGAGAAACCTTGTCTTGGGGGGAAAAAAAAAACACAAACATGTAACATAATCAATTTATAAAAGAAAAGCACCCAGTGTTTAGTTTGAAACAGTAGCCACGCTAGCTAAAGGAATAAGTGGAATCATTTGTAATTTCTCCAAGCAAACTGCCTCAGACCAACTTCTGATTTTGACCACATGCATCAAGAGTCCTGTTACACTTGTGTTGTACATAGGCATGAATATTATAATAATGGAGGAGTACACACTCACAGGGCTTAGCTATATAAACGTTGTAGAAAAACCGTAACCTACATGGTACCTTTCATTATCTGTGGTTTTCATCCCAACTAGAATTTGAGAGATTTTTGTAATTTTAGTAACTGTATCACACTTTGAAGGGCAAACTCGGTTAAAAGTGTTCTGCTATAATTACAATTCACAATACACTATGTAGCTAGGACGTTTGCATGTTGACTGGTGGATTGAATCCAGGAATGAAGAATCTTGAATTTTACCTATTGAATTTATAGTCAGTATGTAAAAATAAGATTAAAGTTGTTAATCACTTTACACATATGGCCCTAATTTAAAAACAGCTTTATTTAAATATAGATTTGCATAATAAAGTATTTCTAAAATATCTACAATGAAAGATAACTGAGAAAAATTGTTTTGACTTATTTATTAGTTTGTTTTCACAGCAGAGGAATTTTCCTTAGGTCCTCACACACGCTAGGCCAGCACTGTATCGCAAAGCTAAATTCCCACACCTAAGTTTTTAAAAAATTGTCAAAGACTAGTTAATTTCTTTCTCTCTAAAATTTGAGCATAGAATTACCATATGGACCAGCAGTTTCCTTTTTAGGAGTATACGCAACAGAATTGAAATAGCTATTCCAACCAAATACTGCTAAGATTCTTTCTCGTCCATAGCTAACTGATTCTCAAGTATACTATGGGATGTTTCTGCTCAGTAATAGTTTTTTGCATGTTTAAAGATACTTTATATAACAAAATACCAAATTTGGACCAATAATTTCAGCCTTCATATTGATATATACTTATGTATTTCTGTTTTATTCACTGATTGACATACCTTTCCGAATGTGTAGTAATAGAGGGATAAATTAGATGCCTTCAGGTAAGGATTGTGTGTGATGTAGTCTACAGCATACATACCCTGAGACACTTGATAGTCATGGCAAGTCAGCACTTGAAGGAGTAGTTTGGAAATAAATTTCAGATGTGAGTAATTTGATAATAAAAATCTGATGGGGTATATTAGTAATTGTTAACCAGTTTTTGTCATTGGATCAACTTAAAATGTTAAGGTATTTTCTATAAATGTTTTTTCATAGAAAAAAATTTTATTTTAACTCTAACACTTTGAATAATAACCGAAGAAGTGAGTTTACATGTGAATGATCTTTATTACAACCTTTTGTTTTGTTTTGTTTTCTTAATCTTTCCATGTGATCCTGACTCTTGGGATGATTGTGGAATGACTCTTGGATACCGTGAACCACAGAGCCTATTGTGAAGAATGGCAGGCCTCCAGCTTCTCACAGTATGCATTCCTTCCTTCATCAGTACACAGGCTCTTTCAAGAAGCCCCCATTGCGAAGACCCCACAGTGTCATTGGAGGAAGCCTTGGTTCCTTTATGGCAATGCCCAGAAATGGAAGCAGATTAGGTGATGTGATTATTTGTCTGTTGCATTTAACCTTCTGGTTTTAGGACATGTACACTAGTGTTAGTTGTGTGAAGAAAGTCGGCCACTTTCATTGTCAGATCTCTTCTAGTCGTGTAGAAACCAGGCTAAAAGTAGCAGGGTAGCAGAAAAGAGGGTGCCAACCCACAGAGAAGGAGTGTTTGCATGTCTATTCATCCAGGAAAATGGGACAACACCTCAGCAGCTCTTCTGTTCATTACCACATAAAGGCCAAGTACAAGAAGACTATTATCGTAGGCTGGAGAGGTGGTTCAGTGGTTAAGAGCACTAGCTGCTCTTCCAGAGGGCTTGGGTTCAATCCCCAGCATCCACATGGCAGCTCATAACTCTCTGTAACAGTTACAGGGGATTCCACACCAATTCCAAATAAAATGAAAAATGAATAATTTTTTAAACCTTTTTTAGAATTTACTTAATTTTATTTTATGTGCATTAGTGTGTGCATCAGATCCCTTGGAACTGGGATTACAGACAGTTGTGAGCTGCCATGTGGGTGCTGGGAATTGAACCTTTGGAAGAGCAGACAGTACTCTTAACCACTAAGCCATCTCTCCAGCCCTGAATAAATTTTTTTAAAGTACATTGTTGCTTGACTTTTGCTTTGAAATATCCAGGAAAAAAAAAAAAAAAGAAGTCTGCAAGGATTTTTTTTTTTTGTATTTTTATGTCTCTAATCATTTTTGATAGTGGCTTATTATGGTTTGATTTTAGAAATAATTTTAAATATAGCTTTCACTGTCCCATTACATAATTGTTATTTCCTAAACTTCCTGAACATTTTATTCTGCTGTTTGCTTTACTTCTTACCACAGTGACTTCCAGGTTCATTTCAGTAATTTTAAGACTGTAAGCCTCACTACAGTGTCGTGTCATCTGGGAGAAATGTGCCTTGATCCTGTAGGCACAGCACTAAGAACGGTGCGCTGGAATCATCTTAAGCTGGTTCATGGGAGATGACTGTTGCAGTTGATTGTTAAACATAGCTTCTGTTATACTTTAAATTGTATAGGCTTTGAGTTAATCTAGGTAAATTAAAAACCAAAGGTAATAAGTACTCCAAAGTCATTATCCCTAATTGTTTTACTGTCTACAATCTACTCTCTGAGGGTTATTTGCATGTCAATAGTGGTAATACTGTGTAATGGTGTGCCATTGAATGCTTATTTCCAGTGTCATGTGTCCAGTAATACTATGCCAGTAATTTGAAGTTAGCCATGAAGCGGGTATTTATTTTCAAGAAATCAGGTCTTGTTTTGTTGGTTGTGTAGACAAGAGGTTGGTTAGTAAATGTTTTAGGTTTTTATGGGCTGTAGTCTCTGTTACATATTCTTTTTCTGTATGTAGTGACCCTTTAAAATGCAAGAAAGATTTTTAGTTCAGGAACAATGTAAAAACATCTGTTCTTGAGCCTCTCGGTCTCAAGGTAGAAATACTGAAAATGTTAGCAATGTAGATTAAATTTCAAAGTATATTATGTCTTTATCAGTTTTATGGTAAGAGGTACAAAAGTTGAATAAGCAAGTATTCTCTAGTTCTTGACATCTTCACATGTCAGCCGAGCCCTTTACTTTACCCTCTAAGAAATTAGTAAATTTCTGAGATGGGCCTTCTTTATCTCACTCCCCTTTTATCTTGAAGAGGACCGAAACATCTGTGCTTGTTTGTTAGCATGAACAAGCTCCTGGCTGAGTCAGACGGTACTTGGTGTTTATTCATCTCAGATTGACACCTTTGCTTGGCAGCCCTTGTACAACAGGGCTGGTTGGTTTTGTTTGCTCGTTAGTACTGGGGAGCTGAACCTACTGCCTATTTTAAGCAAGCTACGCAAATGCTGTAGGGCTGAGCTTACGTGGCCTTCCAGTTTCTCCAGGCAGGGCTTGAACTTGAGAGCTCTCAGCAGATTTTTGACTTGTTAGAGACCCCAGACTTAGCTTCGTGGGAGATATTCAGTGAATAATGCTTGGAAGACACACTCAAGACAGCTTCTTGTACAGCCTCAACTTAGCATCTCCTGCTCCGTTCTTCTGCCTTTAGTCCCAGAGTTACAGGCATATGCCACCACATCTGTCTTGCTACTGGTGGGTAGCAGCTTCTTAAATTTTTTTAAAAATACTATTCTATAAGTTAGTTCCATTTTATTGTTGACCTAATGGTAGTTAATGAAAGAATAGTCACAACAAGCAAAAGCCAGGTCTCTAGTCACATACCCGATCAAATATCAGCTGCTCTTTTAAGTCTTGAATCCCTAGAATCTGAGAAATGAGAGGTTGTTATAATTCTCAAGTGCTGTTTGAAGTCTTTAAATTTTACTCAATTCTTGATAATAGCTTGAATTATTTTTCCTGTAGAATTTTTCATAATTTGCAAACGTGGAGAGATTTTCCCCTCCTACGTCTGTCTCCCCAGTGATGGGATTAAACACATGTGCCACCATGCTTGATATCATACTTCTCTGTGTATTGTGAGAAACACCACAATCAAAAGCAATTTGGAGAGAGAGTTTTTACTTTTGTTTTTTGACTTGTATATTCCAGTCCATAGTTCATCACTGAGGGAGAAACCAAGATAGGAACTCAAGCAGGGCAGGAATGTAGGGGCAGGAATTGAAGCAGAGACCACCGAGGAGCAATACTTAGCTTGTTCCCCATGACTTGTTAAACTTTTTCATATAACCTAGAGCCACCTGCCTGGAATGGTGCCACCCACAGTGGGCTGGCTCTCCCATATCCATTATTAACCAAGAAAAATCACTGTTAAGTTTTGCCTTCAGGGCAGTCTGATTGAGGCATTTCCTCAATTGACTTTCTCTTTTCCCGAGTGACCCTAACTTGAGTCAAGTTGACAAAAAAACTAATCAATACAATTAACCTCTTGTCAACTTGACAAACACATCACTATTAAACCCTAATCTTTTCTTTCTTGTTTTTTTCCCAAGATATCGTACTAATACTATGATTATTATATAACTATAAAACATATATCTTTATAAGCCCCATAGTTTTAAAAATATTCAAATAGTTTTAAAAAGCTCAGTCTCTTAAAATACCCATATCTTAAAAATCCAAGGTTTCTCAATTTGAACTTCTGTAAAGTAAAATAAGTTGCGCAATTCTTATTCCAAGAGGGAAGAACCAGGGCACAGGTACAATTAAATCAGAACAAATCCAACATCTAATAGTATAAATCAAGGCCTGTAGCTGTATGTTCATCATCTGGGATTCACTCATGAGTCTCTGGGCCCCAAGGGACTTGGGCAGCTCAGTGTCTCCTGTTGTGTCATCTGTAGCACACGCAGCTCATCTCACAGCCTCAGGGTGGTTCTGCTCTACGCCTGACACTGTTCTTGGTGCTTTTCCCACAGTCCTGGACTCTCCAGTGTTTTGGTATCTTCACTGTAACTGTGGCTGCACCATCTGCGTTGCTCTCAGCCTTCATATCTTCCACAGAATATCCCATTAAGCTTCGAGCACTAATTGCTTTTCCAGCTCAAAGTTTTAAACATTTTTACAATCTTTCCCGAGAACAACATGGTCAGTTCTGTCACAATAGTATCTCACAATCCTGGTACCAATTTCTGTCTTGGTTTACTTTGTGTTGCTATAAAAAAAAAAACACCATGATCAAAAGCAACTTGGGGAGAAAGGGCTTATTTGGTTTACACAATTCCTGTTTGAGGGACGCCTGGGCAGGAACCTCGAGCCAGGAACTGAGGCAGAGAGGAACTTTACTTACTTATTGGCTTGCCTTCCTATTCAAATAAGGATCCAGCGTGGGCTGGGCTCTATTACATCAATCATTAATCAAGAAAATTCCCCACAAGCCTGCCTATGGGGCAATGTAATAGAGATGGTTTCTCAGTTGACTTTTCCTTCTTCACAGGTGATTCTAGCTTGTGTCAAGTTAACTAGAAACTAATGAGCACACCGGGCCTGAGATGTCTGATTTCCCTTATAAGACAATTATGTTTTGGTCTGTTAACTACATACCCATGTATCCAGAATATAGATGTCTTTCAATACTGTGATTTCTGTTTGTTGGCTGTCTGTATTTACTTGTAATGATACTGAACTGTACTATATAGTAAGATCTATCCTTTAAAAGGTACACTGCTCTTTTTCTGATATAGATATTGTTCATGAAAATCTGAAGATGGGATCAGATGGTGAGAGTGATCAAGCTTCTGGGACATCATCTGACGAAGTCCAGTCACCTACAGGTGTTTGCCTCAGGAATCGTATACATAGACGGATCTCAATGGAGGTAACCATTTAAGAAAATGGAAATATACCTTTGTATGCATATTGTGTTTGTAAAAGAATACGAATACACGGAGCAAATAGTTGTTCATTTGAAACTTTCCTGCAAGGCAGATGGCACTTAGACAGAGCTGCTTCCTTGCCTTGCTGAGCTGTGGTCTAAGCTTGTTTCTAATTACTCTCCCAAGGCAACTATACATTAATTACAGTTCACATTCTGCAGAAAATGTTTACATAATCACACCTTCTCAGTAGTCATCTGGGCACTTCATATTTTATGTAGAATAAATAAACTAGAACCAGCTTGTTTTCTTTCTTTGTCAGTATCTCTTTTATGGTGCACTAAACCTGTATACCCCTTTGATACATTTAAGATATTTCTCCATGTAAAAGAAGAGTTGGAGACTGGAGAGATGGTCCAGCAGTTCAGAGTTTTGCTGTTCTTGCAGAGGAACTTGGGTTTAGTTCTCAGTGCCCATGTGGGTCTAGGGGACCCAAAGCTCCCTTCTGGCCTCTGAGGGTGCTAGGCACAGATGGTTTACATCTGTATATGCATACAAAACGTTCATACACATGGATAAATATTAAAAAGAGCCCAAGCAACTAATTTCATTTAAAATATATGTCATAGTTTTATGGACAGAAATTTTGTTATGACTGTTATTATTTACGTATATTCTATAAGTTTAAAGCTTTCTGCAAAGATATCAGTGTGCTTTAAAATAAAATTTTAGGGGCTAAAGAGGTGGCTCAGCAGGTAATAGCATGTGCTAGCAAGCCTGACAACCTGAGTTCACTCCCTGGAACCCAGAGGGTAGAAGGAGAGAACTGACTCCTGCAAATTGTCCTCTAATTATATAAGGGACCATATTCCTTTGTAGACTGCTTATTTCTACATGTAGAATAATTTCAAAGTAAAGTGCAACTTAAATTTGCTGAAAAAAAAAGAAGAGCTGAGCCTTTTTAAACCGTTTCTGTAAAAACACCTGTCTTTGATTATATTATTATTATTATTCAATATTTATTTATTTATTATGTATACAATGTTGTCTGCATATACACCTGCATGCCAGAAGAAGGCACCAGATCTCATTATAGATGGTTGATGAGCCACCATGTGGTTTCTGGGAACTGAACTCATGACCTCTGGAAGAGTAGCCAGTGCTCTTAACCTCTGAGCCATCTCTTCAGCCTTTGATTATATTACTTTTGCCTTAAGTGTCTTTGTAACTGTGAGCAAACTTCAGTTACTTATCACTAAAGAACAGTGGGCCTGTGCCCATGTCTACAGAAATCTGATGCCCTGGTCTCTTGGGTTCGTAGGACTTGAATAAGCGGCTGTCACTGCCTGCAGACATCAGGATACCTGATGGCTACCTGGAGAAGCTGCAGATCAGCAGCCCACCCTTCGACCAGCCCATGAGCCGCAGGTCCCGCAGAGCTTCCTTAGTAAGTTTCTGGCCTTGCACTGGGCTGTAAGGACAGCTTGTTGCTGGAGCTTGTTGCTCTCTTTTCCTTCTTGTTCTTTCATCCGTTCCCTTTGTCCCTGTCTTTCTCTCTGTCCTTTCCTACCTTCCCCCCATCTCCTTCCTTCCCTTTTCTTTCTTTCTCTCTTTTCCCTTTTCATACCTTTCTTAAACCCAGGGATTTGCATGTGCTAGGCAAGTACTCTACCATTTAGTTGTATCCCTAGCCCTGAAATCTATATGTAAGTTTTATGTCACTCACTTAGTTTTATTGCTTTATTGTCTACATATTACCATTTTTCGTACTTAAAGGGTGTATTGGAGCAGGGCTCAAGTTATAGCTTATTTTTGAATGTATCTTCTTAATACATGTGCACCATATGTGCTTGGTGCACAGCCGTGTGTTGATAATGCTAGATTTTACAGTGGAGTGCCCAGACTCTAATTTACAGCTCCGTGTACTTGTGTTGTTGTCATACTTGTGTAACCCGTGCCCAGATGAATAAATGAAAACTTTAGACACTTTTCTGTTACTTTTCTCTTTTCTCACTACCCCTTATTCCTCAGCTTACCTGCTTTCTGATAACAGAGATTAGTTTTACATACATGGCCACACTGTTTGGATTATACTCTTTGCATAGTGTGCTTTTCTATCTGAGTCTTCTCATTATTCATAAACATGCTCTTGTTTGTTTCTGAACTGTTCAATACTTGCATTGTTTTTTGAGGGAGGGTCTTGCTACTCTAGAATTTATAGTGTAACTCAGGCTGTCTTCACAGTCCACTTCACTCAGCCTCCTTGAGTGTTGGCATTACAGACACTTTCTACAATACCTAAACCTGTTTCCTACTACTCTCACTTAATCTTTTGAACTTTATGTACTTATGAATATATGTTATGAAAAGTACTTATACAAATATACAAGAAGTTTGTATTTATTATACAAAGCTTATATAATGTTATAAAATCAGAGCATGTATGTGAGTATGCAAACTCTTTCTGTAGTTACCTTATTTTGTTCACTGTTAAGTCTGTGAATGTCATTTATTTTGTTGCATGTAGTCATAGTCTGTTCTCATTGCTGTATGGAACACAATTGTACAGCTGTACTATCCTTTTTGCTTGTGTTATACTTTATCCATTCTCATGATGATGGGGTTTAAGCTTGCTTTTAGTCTTTGACTATTATCAAATAGTGCTTCTGTATATGATTTTTGGTTTTGTTACTAGATCTAAAGTAAGCTAGAAATCTCCTGTAGTGCTTGCTATCACTTACAAGTTACACTATTGTAGGCAGACTTAAGTTATAATTTATTTTATTTATAATATTTTAATATTTGCATGCTTTTGCTGTAAGGGTCATTTGAACAGGAATTTGCTTAGACCTTGAGAAGTTATTTCTTGAAGTAATGAAGTCACAAAATAAATTATTCTCGTGGACTGAATTACCACAAAAATCTTCATTTGTATAAAGAGCAAATTATGGAATCTTAATATTATATTAAAATGTAAGGCTACTAAAGCAGTTTCTAATCCTTTTTATAATGCCTGTTAGTATTTTTTTTAATATCAAAACGATGTGAGGTAGATTCGGTGCAGATTGTTAGCTCCAAAATGGGACTGGCGTCTGACTTCACTTTGTGCTCAGCACCTAGCATTGTCCTTGGTAAATGTTGTATAAACGTGCTTTTTCTTTCATCCTCTGAATAACTTCTGTCAGAGAACGTCAGCACACTTTGATTGCTAATCTGTCGTGTTCAACAGATAAAACTGAAAGCAGATTCTAAACATTCTATTTAAAAATTCATTGATAGTTGCCTTTGAATGTGGTCATTGAGACCACTAAGTTGAAAATTCCTTAAGGGGCATGGGCTTGTGTGTCTTATTTTCTAAATTAGGCTCTGACAGCCAGTGCACTAGTGTAAGTCCTACGGTCTGAATTTTCAGGCCAGCTGCATGGATGCAACTCAGTAGTGCTGCTTATTTTATAGACTAACTAGTTGTTCAGTATAACTTTAATAACTGCAGTTGGTTGTTCACTTTCTCTTCTAGATAAGTGCTTATTTTTCATTGGTGCATATTCCGTGTATTTATGAGGTACAATGTGGTTTCAATACTTGTATACAATATGCTTTGTTTAGAGTAAGCAGCATATTTATCTCCAAAATATCTGTGTCTTTGTGAGGAATATTTAACTTCTAGTGATATTTTGACATATACAATTGTTGTTGACTATGGCCACTTTGTGTGTATATGTGGTATCTAAATGTGTTTGTGTTTGTGAACTTGTGCACATGCACATGTGTTCGTGTGTGTGCAGTAGTCTAATAATGTCACTGTATTTCATTTTCTGAAGAGTGACTCTGAAAAAAAGAGTGAGTCTGTAATTTTTGTAATTTTTGATGCATCTGTTACATTTTATCCCATATGTACTTGGTATTATGATAATTTTAAAAATTGTTTATATAGTCCTTAGTCTGTTGTCAGTACCTTATATAATCTTTAAAGCAAACCTCAGTATTTTTGTCATAGTCACTACTGGACCAAATGCATTGAATGTTTCCGGGGTATGGTAGCATTCATTCACTATAAAAAAAAGATGAGTGAAAAAAAAGTCATTGTTCCGAGAGGGAAAAGTTCTTACCTTACATGTTCCTTACTATTTTCCCATGTGCCTTTCATTATTGATGATGATATTTTAAAGTATTTTAATGATGCCTTCCATTTTGTTCATACTAGTTTGAATTTATTCTCAATGTAGTGTTGGTCTCTCTGTAAAACGGGACAAGAAAAATTCACTGTCATTTGAATTAAAATGTCTGAATTCTTAGCATACCTATGCATAAAACATTCTGATATAGTTTGTATGATCTTGGCCATTAACTTTTTACATAATAGATAACTAAGAATCTGGCTGTCACACACCAGATACTGAGATGTTTACTGCATTTTCTAAATTGAAATTTTAAACTTCACTTGTATTTGGAACATATTTCCATAATTTTACCTTATTTTTCATCATTATTGATAGTAAAAACTAAGGCCGTAATACTGAGTCATACATAAGGTAGATATGGTTATAAAACTTGAGTTTTCTTTCATAAAAATACTATGTACATATAGACAATCATTAGGAGTGGAAAAAAAAAACTACACCATACTTAGTCATTCAATAATACCACCTGTGACTAAAAATCCTGATTTGCTAAAACCAAATTTAGTGGTATTGTAATGTGTTTTTTTAGCATGACATTTCACATCATTATAACAAAAGTCTAAGAACAAATCTGCAGATTTGTCAGTGTTTTAAATGCCTGTGGTACTTTAAAGCTGTAGAGGTTTGTATGTTCATTAGCCAAAGATTAGCTGTTTCTTATGTAGACTTTTAATTATAAACTTTGGTATTTTAAGGATGTTCTCTAATATCAAATGCACTTTAAAACTTGACAGCTGTTCAACAATATCATACTTTTTTAGAACAGAATTAAACGTTAAAGAAGAGCTAAAGTTGTCAGAGTAGATGCTAAATTCATAATTGTTTGCTTTCAGTCAGAAATTGGGTTTGGGAAAATGGAAACCTACATCAAATTGGAAAAGCTTGGAGAGGTGAGTATACTGTTATTTCAAAGAGTGAGACATTTTCTTGTTATCTAAACTTTCAATTAGGCCATAATTTTTGCTAGCTTAGAAAAATAAAGGTTGTAGATATTATCTAAAAGATGATATACTAATTCTGAAGTGAGAGCAAAACTAGATGGAATAAATTGTCTTAGTCCTTGAAACCTTCCATCAGTTAAGATGAAATTAATATTTTAGTAGATTTTTTAATCTTTTGTTGAAGCACAAATGCTCTGCTTTGTGAGTAATGGAATAGGCATCTACTTCTTTACCTTCAGAGTCTGTTGTGGTCTGGAAGTCGTATGAGTTCAGAGAACTATCTATAAAGATAAAAGTGTTTCATAAAAGGTAAGAAAATTCGTAAGGCTCTAGCTCCTGGAACTTGCTTCTTCTGCCTGTACTGCTGTTAATTTAAAATTAGCTTATCATCCACAGTAAAAAAGGGCAGAAAAACAACTTGCAAAGCTTTAAGGGAGCTTTTTTAAAGGAGGGCTAATGTGCACAGATTCAGAGGAGTATGAAGGCATGGATCAGGATTCTGTGGTTGAACATTAACATTACATTTTCATTGAAAGTGCTTAGTGCCCCGTGGTTTTTATACATCATTATCTAAGTGCCTTTGGTATTAAATCCGTGGATCCAGTTGTTAATCTGAAATAACACACGAATAAAGGAAATCCATTTTTTATACTTCAGAAACACCATAGGGTGGTAGAAATAAGCTTGTTGTGCATATAGAACTAAGACATTGCCTAAGAAAAACTGGATAAGATGATTTTTTAAAAATGAGATAAAGTTTAACATGCTTAGACGTTAGAAATTGAGGTTAAGGCTCTTTATGCTTTTTATTTTTTTTATTTATTACAGTTTATTCACTTTGTATCCCAGCTGTAGCCCCCTCCTCATCCCCTTCCAGTCCCACCTTTCCTCTTCCTTCTCCTCCCATGCCCAGTACACTGATGGAGGGGGTCCTCCTCCCCTTCCCTCTGACCCTCGCCTATTGGGTCGTATCAGGACTGGCTGCCTTGTCCTCTGTGGCCTGGCAAGGCTGCTCCCCTCGCCCCCACCAGGGTGAGGTGATGAAAGGGCCATGAGACAGAGCCTCACTATGTAGCCCCAGCTGCCTGTAGCTCACTGTGTGGATGAGGGTTGGTCTCCTCCTCCCACTGCCTCTCAGGGGCTAGAAGTAAGGCCTGCTGGTCATGCCCACGACTCTCACCTTTCAATAATGCCTTCAAAACATGTTTTATAGGGTACATATGCAACAGTGTATAAAGGAAGGAGTAAATTGACAGAGAATTTGGTGGCATTAAAAGAGATCCGCTTGGAGCATGAAGAAGGTGCGCCCTGTACAGCCATAAGAGAAGGTACAGTGTTTATGTAGAACAGTTAAGGCTAAATTAAGACAAGCGTTTATAAGTGCTCAGATATACAGACAGTCAATCACTGGAAGCCATTTTTGCATCTTGTAAATGTTAGTTTCTAAAACCAAAATATTCAGCAAAGAGGAATTAGTCAATCGTCTTATTGTATAGCTTATAATGAAATACTTATGAAGCTGTTAAAAATCTCTGACAGATAAATATTGACCTAGGAAAATTTTACGTATTTTTTTATGCAGAGACCATGGCAACTGTACATTAGCAATAAATTTTATCAAATATAAAAAGCAAATTTCTTATAAACATGACCATTTTATTTTTAAAAATTTAAGTTTTTATTATTGAGACTAGATACAGCATATACAATATATTCTGATTATGGTTCCCCACCCCCACCCTGCCAGATACTTCCTTCTTCTTCACCCACCCAAATCCACACTGTTTTTCTGTCTCATTAAAATACCAATAGACATTTAAAAAATAATACGATAAAATAAAAACAAACCAGAATAGGACAAAAACAAACAAATGGTGGGACAGGGGAGCCAAAGAAAAAGCACAAAAACTCAGTGGGGGAAGAAGGTACCTTGTACTGTATACATCAAAGCTGGTCTCAGAATTTCAAATAGTTGACATGAAGTTGAAAGATAGGAAGATGCAGGGTAGTAATATTGAGGCCAGTTTCAGGAATTACAGTCTCAAACCCATACCATACCACCTAAGAAGAAATCAGTACCCTTATTTTTCTGCTGTCCATTTTGCTGTAAACTTTGGGCTTTATCTCATACACAGTCACTCAGGTGCAAAACTTCAGGTTTTTATAACGACTGGCTACCTACCATAGACTAAGTAATTTCCTTTCTTTCTTGTTTTTCAGTTTCACTGTTAAAGGATTTAAAACATGCAAATATAGTAACCTTGCATGACATTGTTCACACAGATAAATCTTTGACTCTGGTCTTTGAGTATCTGGTAAGCATTTAATAAAATTTAGCATTCTATTTTACTTTAATATAATATTTTATATTATGTTACTTTATTATATATTGTACTTTCATATATAATAGTGGACCTTGTAACAGCCCCAGGGACATTGTTGCTTAATTATTGGTAAATATTTCCTTGAAAAGCAACTTAATGTTAAACATTACAATGTCATTGGGCTGGTGAGATGGCTCCATGGATTAGTGTTTACCACCATGACCAACAACTTGAGTTTCATCCTTGGAACCTAAATAGAATTGAATCAACTCTCTTGAGTTGTCCTTGGACCTCGACACACGTGGCACATATGTGTGTACCCCCAACATATAAATATTTTTTAAAATTCTCTCAGATTAATCAGCCAAATATTCCCCAAACTGTCACATGGTAAAGTGCTGTATTTTTTTCAGGACAAAGACTTGAAACAATACATGGATGACTGTGGGAACATCATGAGTATGCACAATGTAAAGGTAGGTTTTACATGTAATATTAAGCCTTATGTAAGCACCGGACTATAGTGTCCAAGTAAGTATACCAGCCAATTAGAAAATTACTTACGAGGCTGGTATATTTATTTATGTAAAATTAACAGTTCCTAGAAACCTATTTTGGAAAAAGGTAGTGTGTCGCGTATGTGGTTGAGACATTTCTAACTCTATACATAGTAAGTTTAACTTTTTTCCTTTAAATAGTAAGTTGGAGACTATAGAGGAAAGCCATTTTCTGTTACAGAGTGCTCTGAAAATGGGCTAATACATTGCTAACAGCATGGCTCTGAATAGATCTCTATGTGTTCTATAGGGGCCTTTTATATTTCATCTTATTTTAATATATCATGAATAACATTTGTATATTTTTCTCTACTTTTATATCTAGAAATAATTTGGAAAGAGGATAAAGAGTTTACTTGGCATAATTTCATAAAGGGTTGCAAAGTCCATGCTTTTTAAGTTAGGTCCATATGGCTGCTGTAAGGTGGAAAACACATCGTTGTTTGTGTAATATAAAATTACACAAAGTTTTTTCAAGGTTAAATCTGGCAGATACTGAAATAGTAGTTCTAGAGTTTTCTGAGCATAGAAATGCCAGCTCTGGAAACTACTTCTCAGAAGTCATTCAGGCCTGTCACTCATCTTCTGCATTGTCGCCCTCGGTGGCCTAAAGACTGCTTTGGATCATCTCTATGAAGACTCTTTTTGCTAACAACAAAGAATCAGAACACTTTCTAAATCTTTATTCTAAAATACACAAAAGCCCTTGGCCATTAACCTTACAAGGATCACTTTTCCTCAGTCATTCAGAGTAGAATAGTGCCAGGGCCCCTTTCTGAGTCACGGTGGATTTTGAAGAGTGCGTAGGAGGCGCTGAAAGTCAAGTGCCCAGGAGGTGGGTGAGGAGCTGGGTAGAGTATTTTTATAGCAAGTACTTTGCCAGAGCTGCACAGCACCCATCTCTTCTGATACCTTGGTTCTTCTGTAAAACCACCAATATTCATGCCCCTTTTAAAGTGATGCTGCGCCAAATCAGGGGCAGGCGTGTTTGTTTTGGAAGGAGAAAATCTATGGCAAGGTTTGCTTGGTTGTTACCACAAAATTTTATTGTTATTTTACTGTTATTATTCAAATTTTTATTTGCAGTATTTATTTTTCTGGTTATCATTAGGTTAAAACCTAGCTGATTCTTTAAATTGAACAATAAACAATAAAATTTAGAAAGCAGCTTTCAGAGGAAAGGATGTGTCCTTACATGTCTTTAATTTCTTGATTTTCCTTTATAGCAAAGCCCATTACATTATCATTAAGACTACTTATCGTTTGTTTCTGTAGCTGTTCCTGTACCAAATTCTCCGTGGTTTGGCATATTGCCACAGAAGAAAAGTACTGCACCGGGACTTGAAACCACAGAACCTCCTCATTAATGAAAGAGGAGAACTAAAGCTGGCTGACTTTGGTATGGAGAGATAAGATATTCATAAATACTAAGTTAAAAAAAATAACAGCCATTGTCACAACTTGTATGTGGGTTTGAAGTTTTCTCTGAGGTTTGGTGTGGGATAGAATTTAGGTGGATGGTTTATGATGGCTATTAGTGACGAACACGCATGCATGGGTTCCCAGGCACCCTCTGCAGACCTCTGTGATTTATGAGACTTTCCAGGGTCCCGTAAAAATGAAACGTACCTCGGACTCATGCTGAGCAAGGTGTTTCTTGCCTTTTCCCCTATGTCACTATTTGCACTGATGACACAACACCTTAAGAAACACTGACTTCTTGGGCTTTTCAGGGCAAAGCCACATGTATTCTTCACTGCTAAGACTTTAGGGGACAAGTGGTCAACCTTGAGGTCATATACGTCCAGGTAACATTATTTGAACTGAGCAGATTGTGTTTATATATTTAAGAATATACCTCTGTCCTTTACCTCCCCCCACCCCCGACGGAGGAACAGCCTTGCTAGGCCACAGAGGACATTGCAGTACTAAAGACACCTGATAAGCTAGGGTCAGATGGAAGAGGAGGAGGACCTCCCCTAGCAGTGGACTTGGAAAGGGACAGGGAGGAGATGAGGGAGGGTGGGATTGGGAGGGAATGAGGGAGGGAGCTATGGCTGGGATACAAAGTAAATAACCTGTGATTAATATTAAAAAAATAAAAATTAAAAAAAGAATTTAACTCTGTACACAATTTTATATTTGTGTAAACAATATAAACATATACAATATATATGTATGTATATATACATATATGTGTATGTATATACAATTAAAGAAAAAGAGGCCATGAATTGAGATCTGAGAGTGCAACCATGGGGGGAGATATGTAACATGGGAGGAGTTGGATGGAGGAAGGGGAAGTGGAAAATTATGTAATTATATTTTTTTCAAAAAATTAAAAAGTGAATTGGTATTTTAATAACATTTGAGTTAATATATATTTGTATATAATTTACTATAATATAACACAAATAAATATGCAAGTAAGGGGGGAAAAGGAAAACAATCAAAAGTATTTTGTCAGTATTATTCAAGTGGTCAAACAAAATTTAGAATTTGAAAATTTGGATCTGCTACTTTTACTTTATTTACTGACTTGCTGATATTTAGAGACAACACAGGTGACAAATATGACTTTTTGATATTCTGAAGAAATATATAGCTATTTATAATATATAAGTCAAAGACCAGTATTTCCCCAATTACCAGGAAATGGTACTATAGAGTCATGCTGGGATAAAAGATCCAATTAAAGCACTAGCTAAAACAATGAACTGTAATGGAAGTATGAGGAGGTCACTGGTACATTGTCAGCTACTACGTAAGTTCTGGCTCTCGCATAGCCATGTAAGATGGGCCACATTTCAGAAGAGGCTCTGGGTGTTTCTGCTTTCCTGCTTGGTGTTTGTGTGATTTATACTTGTCATATGTGTATGAGCTATTACACATTTGACACGTCCTGCATATACTGTGATATGTCAAAACAATAATTCACAGCATTTCAAATGCAGAAAGTAAATGTGAAATCCAGTTGTCCTTTAGTAACATAAAATTTAATTAATAGAAACGTAGGGCCATTGTTTTTTTGTTTTTGTTTTTTTGTTGTTGTTGTTTTGTTTTGGTTTTTTTTTTTTGGTTTTTGTTTTTTTGCTTTGGAAAATAACTTTTTTACAAAAATGTTATTGGAAAAAAAGCAATGTCAGGATTGTGAATTAAAAAAAAAAAAAAAAGGTGTTATTGGAGACAGCCAATTGTGACTGGTGGGCATTTGAGGTTGGAGTTGTTTTTGTGTTTGAATCAGGGTCTTGCTGTGTAACCTACATTGTCCTCAAACTCATGATTATCCTGCCTTGAATGTCTCTTGATTATGTGATTATAGGACAGTATTGCTGCACCCGACTGAGTCTTGTTCTTAATCTCTAAATCATCCTTTTAAGTTTTCTCAGTTTTAACTTGGAAATACTGTAAATATCAGTCATCCACATAAATAAAAGCACTTGGGGTCTTATTTGGAAGGATTATGCCAGGGCCTGAGACCTAGACTCTGCCTTGGAGAGAGTCTAGGGGGCCCTTTTCCATATGCTCACCCCATTTGTCTGTTTTATTATGTGACTTAACTAGTACTTGTGTATCCCTTTAACCAATCTGATTTTATGCAATTTGAAAATAAAGTTATGTGTTCTTCGTTTGAGGAAGTAATTTTTTTTTAATAATGAAAGAACATTTTGTAGAGTAGCTTTAATTTTTTGTGTTATATACTTTAAATTTGAATATTTTAATAAATTTAGTTTTTAAGTGCTAATACAATTTCTGCCATTAGTATTTGTAAATTTTTTTAAGTCATGCCAGCTTTACTTTAGGACTGTTTAATACATTTCACTAATAGGAGATATTTTTTCAAGCTTTCTGTTAGTGACAAGTTAAAAATTTATTTTTATCAATAGTGAATTTGCCCTGACTGTTCATGAACATTTGTTTATTTAGTCCTTTATCATTTGTTTGAAAGGGATTTGCTGTTTGGCTACCCGAGATTAAATGCTAATACAGGTTAATTTCATATGCTTACATATGCGTAACTACTTACACAATTGCTTCTTGGGCATCATTTGTGTTATTTCTCTTATCCTTACTAGTCCCTGCTCCTTTTTCTTCTCTCTTTGCCAAGCTACTTTTATTCCTCCTTACCCTAAGTCCCAAAATGAGTGTCAGTGACAGAGAAATTATGTAAAGGTATTTTAAAGGCCATGGGAAATATTTTATTTGAGAATGCTTTGAGTTTAATACTTTAAAATTTTGCCTTTAACCTCCAGAAAGCAAGAAAGCAAATCGCTTAATATAATCATCATGTTTCTGCTATTTGGCATTTACTCTTTTTTATTGGTTACATAGTAAATACATGAATGGCTTCAAATAATGAGTGTCATTTAATTTTAAATATTTCCACTATGGGTTGATCCTTCCTTTTTTTGTCCTTGGTGGTGCTGGAGATCAAAGTCAGAGCCTTGAGTGTGATAGGCAAACACTGTCTCTGAACTCTATCCCTACCCTTTTAAAATTATTCTTAATTCCTTTAAAAATTCCATTATTAGGCAGGGTGGGTGTGGTGGCACATGCCTTTAATCCCTGCATTTGGAAGGCAGAGGCAGGTGAATTCAAGACCATCCTGGTCTATCTACAAAGAAAGTTCCAGGATAGGCAGGGCTGTTACACAGAGGTACCCTGTCTCAAAATTCAAACAAACAAACAAAATTCTATTATTATGATCAATGAAATCCAGACATTTAGTAAATACAAACAAAAGTATATACTTCCATTAATGATAGAAAATGACTTAAAATAAATACTGTGTAACAGTATTAACACTGTTAATTTAGGAAAGGAGCACTTGTATAATTTCATAAAAAATTCTGAAATTCTAATTTTGAATCCTGAGCCTTACAGGATAAGCATCTCAGTTCAGAACAGAAGAGTAAAGTACTGAGGAAGTTATAATTGGCAGTTTGCTTTAATGGTTTAAGTTTTAGCAGATTGATAGCCTCGTCATCTCTAATCTGCTCTTAATATCTCGAAGTGCAAGGTGACACTTACCTTCAAGCACTCAGGAGGCAGAAGATCTGTGTGAGTTTGAGGCCAGCCTGGCTATGTAGACAGTGAGTTCCAGGGCTGTGTAGTGTCTCTGTCTCAAAAAATCAGGAAGAGAAATCAGAGAGCAGCCCTACATCTTTCTAATTACCAAAATGTATGGAAAAATAATTTGTTTGACGTGATAGTTTATTTAATTTGTAATTAAAATAGTGTCAACATTACACTAATGAAATGAAGTTTTGAATTACCATTTTATGACATCTTATTTAGTGTTTTAATAAGAGACATAAAGTTATGCATAACAACAATCTCAGCCTAAACAACTTTGTTACTTGAAACAAAATGTATGGTGAAAGTAAGGTTACGTTTCTTGAGATGTAAACCTACTGACCACAATTTAGAGGCTTAGGGGTGCTAACTCCCCACCAGTAGCAAAGCAAAACAGTTGTTAGCCATTCTGTCTTTCTGGGCACAGTAGAGTCCACACAAGATTGACAGGGCAGACATTTGTTTACAGGAGTTGTTATTATCCCAGATCATCAAGGCCTCTTGCTCTGAAGTTATATATATTACTTAAGACACTAAGAAAGGACAGACCACCGGATTTTATTTCAGGGAAATCTTTAAATAAGTTCAAGAAAATTGCCAGTAAAATCAACTGGCTATAGACCAATGATTTTGAGGTTTTTTTTAATTTAAAACAAAAAAATGCTATAGCAAATAAATGTGGCATTTGGGTTAAAAGGTGACAAATAGTTTATAACTGTAGCAAATAAACCATGTCTCAGTGTCATTGACCTATTTTGGGATAATTCTAGTTGGAAATAATTCTGGCATTATGACTCATCAACAGACAGAAAATATCTCAAGTTTCGATTAACTCAGACTGCACCAGCTTAGTCTCTTGCTGTGTAATTACTGTGTTTAGTTTTTTTGTTTAATTATATAATATTGACTTGGCCCTGGACTACATGCACTCAACAAAATTTGTAAAACTACAATTTTGAAGTTTCAGGATGCTGTGAAGTTGGCATCGCTTCAAATGGGTCATGGTGACAGTAGGGGCTAAGAAATTCAGCATATCAATGGATCTCAGCATATTTAATTCTTTTGTTTTCTTTTCTCCAAAAAGGACTAGCCAGAGCCAAGTCAGTTCCCACAAAGACCTACTCAAATGAAGTTGTCACACTGTGGTATCGGCCACCTGATGTGCTTCTTGGTTCCTCAGAGTACTCTACGCAGATTGACATGTGGTAAATATCAACGTCCTTGCCATTTACAGTTTCCAGAGACTACAGTCTTAACAGGGTGTACTGAGAAGTACTTATTTTTAAAGGACTATTTTAAAGCAGTAGTATGTTTATGGGCAATGATTAAGAAGTGAGGCATGGAAACAAAACTATTTAGCTTTAGATACCAAGTCTGCCACTAATGACTATATATGACTGTCTGCCTTATTCGCATCATCAGCCTGTGCCTTGACGTCATCATTAGGAGCTGACACAGTGATAGTAAGTCTGTAGATGATAGTAAGACTAAATGAGCTGATGCGCAAAGAGCACTATCAGTGTATATGACATGGAACAATTTCAAACAAGTATTGTTTTAATATGTAAAATATACCTACTTTAATTTGGTCTAAAAATTAAAAATAAAATTTCAAAGATCTGTTTCTTATGCATTATTATGGGTCTATGTGTGTGTTGTGTGTGTATGTATACATGTGTGTGTCTGCAAGTATGCTCACCTATATATGCATACACATACAGAGGCCAGAGGTCAACATGAGGTGTGTTCAGATATCACTTTTCACTTTAAAGGAAAATGTTTTCATCTATTTGAGAGTCTTTCACTGAACCTTGCTAGCTGGCCAGCAGGACCTGGGCTCTACCTGCCGCAGCCCCTTAGCACTGTGCACATGGATGCTGAGAGCCCTGACTCCGGTTCTCATGCTGGGCAACAAACACTGTTCCATCTCCCCAGCCCACACAGCACCGTGACCGTGACACCCTGTGCGAGTTGCTAACACAATCATTGCCTGTAGTGTAAATTGCATTTTCTTGAGATTTTCATAGACGTCTATAAACTTCTTTTCCACTTAGTTCAGCCTATTTCTTAACACAGATGTTCTCTTTTAGCAAAATTGTTCTACTTGATATTCTTCGAAATTAGGCTGACTCTGCCAACTTTCTGCTTAAGTGTTCATTTCAGTCTGTCCGTTTGACATGCCTTTCTTCACCCAAGAGGGTCTATGTTTAGCAGTTCCAAACAATTTGTTATCAGTCCTTTCCTGGGTGTGCCCTAGCCTTCAGAGGCAGTTGCTTTCTCTGAATCATGGCTGTATTTACTATGTATTCCTTATGTCTTGAGAAATACTTGTTTCTGTTACTGTCTTAAGAAATTGCATATAATCTCATTTTGTAGGACACTTTTTCCTAAGTTCTGGTAAGATATATATATATTTATGATAAAGTTTATAATTTTAATTAGTCGACTTGTGTGGTTTTGAGATATTAGGCTCCCTACATTGTTGTACAACTATCTTTGCCATCCATTTTTAGAACTTCAGAACTTTTTACTCTGTTAAACTAAAATTTTACCCATTAGACAAAGCATTTTATCTTTTTATTTGGTCCCTGGTAATCAGCACTCGACTTCTTGTCTCTGAATTTACCTGCTCCAAGTACCTCATGCAAGTGAAATCTTGGTGTACTTGTCTTTTTGTTACGGGCATACTCAGCTTTTCTCATGTACCACAATGCTTTCAGCTTCATCCACACTGTACACAGTTCCCTTGAGTCATTGTGAATCTACAGCATGGTCTGTTTAGTTGTTGTTCATCAATAGTAGGCACTGGACTTCTTCCTCCTTCACCTACGGGAATGATGTTGCTGTGACTATGGATGGACGTATTGTTTCAGGATGCTACTTGCAGATTTACCTAAAAGTGAAAGTCTTATCAATTCTATTTTAAAATGTTTAGGAACCATCATATTGATCTCCATTACGTGCCATTTCAGTTTTGTGCAATTGTACTTGCTGTGAGCCCTTATAGAAGTACTGTATCTTAATCATACATGTACCTTGTAGTTCCTAAATGATCATGTGTATTCTCTGAGCCCTTGTCCACCTTCACCTTCTCTTACACAAGTCACCACCAGCAGCAGCACTCGGCTTGTAGTCACTACTTCCTGTCTCAGGATCATGAATCATTCATTCACTTCTCTCTGTGCTATCACTGCCACTGTTACCTCCCAGGTTACCATAGTAATCACCCATCACCCGTTAAGTATTGTTTTATTCTTTGAGGACCTTATATAAAAGAAAGCTAGACATTTTAAGTGGGGAAATGAGTTAGTAACATGAAAGTTGAGATAGCAACTTGTTGGGTTTAAAAAATACCTTTGCAGAAAATTTTCCGGTAGGCGGTCTAAAATTCACCAGGAAGACAACTTGAGAAAAAATATTCTTGTGCTACCTAATATGTAAATGGATTGAATATTTTTTTCTTCTTCTTTTTATGATGCATTTTAAAGGGGAGTTGGCTGTATTTTCTTTGAAATGGCTTCTGGAAGACCACTGTTTCCAGGGTCAACTGTGGAAGATGAACTGCACTTAATATTTCGACTACTAGGTAAGAAGTCTTTTTCCCATGATTCACACGTGCAGTTGATTGTCTGTAAACCATGTGTATGTACATGCATGCATGACTGTTTTGATAAGAATAGCAGTTGGCTTATTTGTTATAGGGTACATCTTCCAAAGTAAATCTTCATTGAGCTGGTTTCATAAAGGCTTCGTGAAAGAAGATTTGACCTTCTTTGTTTTATTACGTACTATTCCTAGTGTAGATGGATGGTATCATAGAGAAAGAAAAAGGACTTTTCATAATTATGGCATAATTGCATAGTCCCAAATCCCCCTGGATATATGTGGTATCCCCAAATACACACGCACATACACACACACACACACACACACACACACACACACAACACACACACTATCATTTTAATTTTAATTGAAATACTTAAAGCATTTAATAAAAGTGTATTGTTCTTTAAGCTATTTTCCTAATTTTGCTTGTCTCTATATGTTTGCATGTATATAATTTAAATGCTTATCATGAGTTTATTCTTTTAATTCAGGAACTCCATCTCAGGAAACTTGGCCTGGTGTTTCTTCGAATGATGAATTCAAGAACTACAACTTCCCAAAATATAAGCCACAACCTCTAATTAATCATGCACCCAGGTACTCTTTTCTTAAGTGGAAAGGGCCAAATTCATGTGACTCAGCAAACACTTTTGATGCACTTGCACAGGAAGGGTTCAGGGCTGAGGCAGGATAGTTTTCAATAGTGTGTGATGTAAGTTAATTCTGTATATTTCTTCCTTTGACATAATTTTATAAATCAATGGCCAAGAATCATCAAAGTATGTAAATAGAATTGAGATGTGAAATATTGGAATTTTAGAGGTTCTGTAGATAGATCCATGAAGGCTCTGATAACACTTCTGTTTAGGAATCTTATTAGATATGTCATTGGTCTTGTTTAAGTTTTATGAACTTAATACTTTACAGTAACCATTGCTTATCAGGTTATTTGATATGATTTTCTTGATGGCTTGTCACTATTTTAATGCCATTGATACATTTTGGGGTCATTGTCTCAATGTTTTTACCTGTATACTAAAACAGTAGTATTTTGGTGTTCCTGCCTTTATTGGCACACTGAATATTTGTGTCCTATTTAAACTTTCCATATAATAGAGGTTATTTTGGGGGATAGAATGCTAAGTTTAAGAATTGTATAGTATTAATTTTTCTTGGATACCAAAAACAAAGTATGATTTATTCTCAAGCAATTGACAAGATAAGCTTTTTAGGGCTAAAACAGATTTGGGTCTTTGAAAGCAGTAAGAGTAGTTATTTTAGAGAACTTAAATTTGGCAAGTAGAAACATTTGGAAAATTATCTGAAAAATTTCTATCAGCTAAGATAAAAGAATAATGGACATTTGTTTCAATTTGTTGTATTTTTTTGTTTCTAGGTTAGATTCTGAAGGAATTGAGTTGATAACAAAATTTCTTCAGGTAAGTTACATCACATTTTATAAATGTTAAATGGATCTTTGTCACTTTCCTCTTGGGAAAAACAGAATCAATAATAGGGGAAAACAGAATCAATAATAACCCCCTCAAATACTGTTAATGACAGCAAGATTATTTATGGCGCCTTCTAAAATGCTTCAGCAAGCTTATGTTTTTTTCAGTTCATGCTTTCATGTTCTCTTTTTCCTTATGCTTGCTGCCTTGCACTTCCAAATGTCACTCTCATTTTTCTCCAGAGCAGGAAGAAGAGGGAAGGTAGAGAGGCACCAGCCACATTAACACTCTTATATCTTGAAAGCAAGGACTTTTTCCAAGTCTCATTGGCTAGAACATTAATTGTAAAAACAAAACAACATAGACACACACACACGGCTTGAAGTTGGAGTGTTAGCCTAAGCCTTGAGTAATCGTGATTCATGTATTGTCTGTTGAAATTGGAAGCATGAACATCTTGAATAAGCCTAAGTTGTATCATTTAGAAGAAAAGAGCCAGTGGGCGTGTTGTCGAGAAAGTGTCTAGTGTAAAGGCATTGCCCTATTTCCACCAGCACATTGCTGCTCACCAGGAAAAGTAACATTAAAGATTGAATATTTTAATTTTTCATCACTTCAGAGAAATACAAGGGAATTTTTTTTTTAGGAGGCTGAGCTAGGAAATGTGGAATTGAGATAGAATTATTCCCATACTTCAAGTGTATTGGTAGTGCTTTGAATTGATGCTAGAAAAATTGTCATATTAAGTAATCAAGAATTTTTAAAAATAATTCTAAATACTAATTTATTTTTTGGCCTTTTACAATAATTAGAGAAAAGGCTAATGAAGCTGTTCTTTGCTTTTTTTTACAGTATGAGTCCAAGAAAAGGGTTCCAGCAGAAGAGGCCATGAAACATGTGTACTTCCGAAGTCTAGGACCAAGAATACATGCTTTACCAGAAAGTAAGACACTCTCAAGCTGTCCCCTTTTGTTTTCTTTTGTCTAGGATTGAGGATTAGAAGGTTTAGGAATTGAAGAAGAGATGGTTGTTGATTTTTATGCCTAAAATTTTAGTCCTTTTTTGTAATTAGATCATAATTTTTCCAAGGAAAGTTTCTCTTTTCTTGATTTATGTCTTTCAACATTGAGCACACTGCCTCTACTCACTAAGAAGTCAGTAATATTTGTGTGAATCATTAATATTACTTGATTTAAATTGGACTATGCTGATGACATCATCTTTAGGCATAATCTGGTTCAATTTTTGGTTAAATGAGAATTTCTAGGTAGGATAGGTGGCCACGTGACCAAAGTGCTTCCTGCACAAGCCTGCAGACCTGAGTCCAGATCCCAGCCTGTGGGAAAAGATGGGCCATGTCATGCACATCTGTAACCCCACTGTATGCCAGGGTTCCAAGGGCTCACTGGCCAGCCTAATAAAAATAGTAGCATACACATATGCACGAATGGGTTTCTATAAAGATTAGTGAGGCACAGTCAAAGTACAAGATGGTTTCTTCAGGAAAGTGCATTTCCTTCCTGAGAAGATACCAAGATAGTCTTCTTTTGTTGTGGTCACTCTGGCTGTACTATCCCTAAGAAATTAGTATGCCATTATCAAAATCACTAGAATAGAAATTTTCCCGGGCCTGAGGTAATGCTTGACTTTAAAATAGAATGAGTGGGGAAATCGGAGAATGTTTGGGAACTCAGCCATGAGAGCTATTATTACTTCCCCATTCTTTTTTACTAGGTAGTCTTTATTAGCTGAGGTTCATGTAACAAGTCAGTGGCAAAGCCTGTTAGAAAAGCCACAAGAGTTGATGTAGAATTTGTTTTTATTTCTTTAATGAAAAACTGTCTGTGACAGAGATTAGAAATGAGAGGTGACGTGTATTTTTTCCTAAGTCCTTTTAAAGACATTGTCTTCCTCTGTAGCCCTGGCTGGCCTAGAAATCACTGTGCAAAGCAGCTGGCCTTCGGTGTATGGTGCCCCACAAGACCTCGTCCTCCAAATGCTTACATTAGACATGTGTGCTACTGTGCCTTCATTTCTTTGAAGGGATAGTATTTCATTATCAGACCAAGTGTCAGTTTGATTTAGTTACTCTTCTGTATATCTACTCCATTGTTTACTGAAAGTATCTGAAGATTATTTAACAGTTGATTCCTTCAGGCCATCATAAGGGACAAAGGTCATGGAGAATAAGAACTGAGTAATCCATTTTGACTAAGCCATTGGGGTCTCCCAACCCCAATAAGTCCTGAAACAATTTTTTTTCAAAGGAACACTGCTTGGATAATTTTTTTTAAGACAGAGTTAGACAGAGAACCATTCTTAAGTGGGATAACCTCATTTGGTTTTCTGATTAGAACATAGAAACAAACAGGAAATCTTTGAGCAGGGCTGTAAACTTGGTAGCACAGTATAGGTATTTGATAGTCATTGTATGCTTTTTGAATAATTATAGTTGATAAAGATTTGTCATTAATATCTGGTGAACTTTTTCTTGTCTGTCCATTTTAGGCGTATCAATATTCAGTTTGAAAGAGATTCAGTTGCAAAAGGACCCGGGTTTTCGAAATTCTTCCTATCCAGAGACAGGTGTGTTTGTCATAAACCATTTCACGAGTCGATCATGAATTTTTGCGTGGAACCAAGCTTTGGGCTTACAGATTGATCAGTAAAATTATTGATGTAAAAACCAATGTACAGTGCATCCCACAACTCTGTATGTTTAGAATTGCACATACTTACTTTACTGTTCTGTATGATGTGGGCAGCTCAGTAAATCCTCAGAGAGATCTGACTCAGTCAAGTCAGGGATCATTGACTGCAGATGGCACAGAGACCTTTTACAAGTGGCCTGGCTTGATCACTGCACACGCCATCCCTGGTACCTGAGGCAGAAGACACAGCTTGTGCTTGCCTAGTCATCAGGTTCATCACTTCGAAGCCTAGAAGCTGTAGACTGACCCTGTCAACACAAGGGTCATTTAAGACAGTGCTGATCACTCTTACCGCGCGGAACATTAGTGTTTGCTGGTGGGAACATTAGCTTCCTAGCGTCACCAAGTACTGTATATGGGATAAAAACTGAACCTTGAACTGCCTCATAAGATGACTTTATATTTTAGGACATGGGAAGAACAGAAGACAGAGCATGCTCTTTTAAGTCTGGTAACATGGTTTCAAGCCCAGCCCCAGCCTTTCTTATCAGCCATGGACTCAGAGCTGAAGGCAGTCATTTCTTGTGCTGGACTTGGGATCTCCGTGTGTCTACACTGTCCTCTTCACAGTGGAGTCTTTTTATTTCAGACCTACAGATTGTTTTTATATTTGTTGTCACAGTGTGACAATTTTTTTTGTACAGTTGGTTTTAAGGTCTTCTCTGCCAGTAGAGCCAGTAGGTTACAACTGTCAATGTAACTGTAGCTGCAGATTTGTGCAGGACTGAGAAACACAGCGCATTATTTATTGCGGAATCATTGCTGCTAAGTAACTACTGTCTGTTTATTTAACACAACAGTTGAATGCCTGAAGAAGTTGCAGTGGCTTTATTATATGTGAACGCATCTGTTTCTCCTCACAAATTGTTTTACTGCTGCATTTTGTTTGTTCATTTGTTTTTAAAAATTAAACTACAGTGTTTCCTGGAATGTATATTTAGCTTTGCTTAGCAGTAAAATAAGTGAGCCGTCTTGAACACTCTTAAGTTTGTGCTGCATATAATTTCTTAGAAACATTGGCCAATAGAGTAGCTGAGACATTGACAGCACAGTGTGTTTAGGAAGCATGCAACGCAGGAGTTGATTCAAACAAGTGAGTATCAGACATTTTGGATCCTCACATTAGACACCAATAAACTAAAACACCAAGTTATTTATTTTTACCTATTCCTCATCTTAGAAATGGCTACTGCATATTTGTGTGCTACTACACTTAATTAACTCTTATTACACTGTGCTTTTAGTGAAGATTTAACCATGTGAGTCATTCAAACAGGAAAGGCCTTGCTGCTGTGTGTCTTAAGCACATTTCTGTTATTAGATGATACTTCATTTTGAGGAACAGTTTCTTTCATTTGTGGGCTGTGTGTGTTTCAATAACATTCACTTGGAATCAGCTGAAAGCTGTACTATGTCTTTAAAATGAGCCATGATGAATTAGAAATGAGAAGTAAGAACCCAGAAGACTGCTCTAAAGCATTGTGGGTATTATCTGCTCATCAGAGACACTAACTAGTGTAACTTGAATTATGCATCTCCTTGAACATCACAAACACTTTGGTGTTGGTAACAGTGTTTTAGGCATTTGTGTTCATTTTTAAGGACTATTGGTTAGTGCATCTTACAACTATAAATCTTAATTGGTATATTTTGAAATGGTCATGTAAGTTTTTGCCTTATATCATGAAAATAGTTATAACTTAATTTTTGTCCTGCCATTCACTGTAAACATTCAGGGTCCTCTCATTTCTGTTCAGGAAATCCTGTAGTTTATTGTTATTATTTAACAGTATTAAGTGAGTTTTTGTATATTTCATTTTAACTTTATTTGTGAATAGTGATTGTGGCATGTTCGGGATGTTATTTTAATATTTCATGATACTGAAATTTTAATTTTTTTAAAAAAAAGTTCTGGAAGAAACAGATTCATGTGTAATGGTGAATATTGGACCACTACTGCTTTTCACATTTGTCAACTGGTTTTATGTTAAGCCCTGTAGCCTAACTGCTGTTACTTCTAACTGACAGACATGTATTAATCTTGTACTTTGAAGGTTATAAATATTATGTGAAAATTCCTTCATTTTGTTTTGAAGTTTATAACTAAATCTCCATGCTGTATAAAATGTGATGTTGCTGAGTCGCCTTTCTTGGGGAAGAGAGCTGTACACACTGGCTTGTTCTCTTCGCATGGCGTCACTGTGAAGTAATGAGCGCTCACTGTGCTGAAAGGGGCAGCGTTTTATGTCTGTGCCGACCAGGTTAGCCGGCTCTGATGGAATCATATCATGTAGCATTCTTTGCTTGTGATGTAACAGATTTGTCAATTTGATTTGCAAATTGACCATAGTTAGCTGTCAGTAATTTTGATTCTTGCACATAAAAATTAAAGGGATATATGCAGTCGTTATTTAAAATTCTTTTTAGGGAGTCTAGGGACCTTTTGTTAAGAACTTCAGCAAGGAAATAGGTGCATGTAGGTTGCTTTTGTTTGTTGACATTTCAGCCTCATTCAGATCCTGGAAACTGCAGTGATGACACTTAAAACTCGGAAGGATTGAACCTGGAACTCCCACAAGCCCCTTAAGCTGACAGGAATTCTGAAGGTAAGCAGTGCTAGGCCCCTCTCAGTGGGTCCCAGGTCTCCACTCGGGCATCTTATCAGCTTAGTTTAAAAGAATATTTAATAACATGTTATAATCTATCTTTCAGACTCAGTACAATTCATATTGGTTTTTCTTTACCTCTTTATGGCATCAGTTGCATTCACAAAACAATAGTTATATTGATTTATTTCCAAATTGTCTTACTATTTCAGAAATTGAACTCATTAAAAAAATAATTCCATTCTCCCCCCAAGCTTCTCATAACTGTTCATTTACTTTCTGAATCTATGAATTTCCCTATTCTAGATATTTTCTATAAGTGCAACCATACCATATTTATATCTTATGTTTGGCGTATTTCTTCAACATAATATTTTCAGAGTCTCTCTCATGGCTGACTAATGTTCTGTTGTGACTGAACAGTGTGAACACTGCTGCAGTAAGTATTGGTGTCCACACATGTTTGCATTTCTCTTTCCATCTCTTTGGAGTGTATATACACTAGGAGTAAAATTGCTGGTCAGACATCATTCTGTATTTTACTTTCTGAGAAGCCCCTGAGCTGTTTTTCACAGCAACTGCACTATTTTAAATTCTTAGTGATGTGTGAGAATTTTTTATCCTTCCCACACTTGTTATCATCAGTATCATCATTATGGTCATTCTAATAGGCATGAAGACAGAGTTCATTGTAGGTTATACTTAAATTTGCTAGCGATTACCTATGAGTATCTTTTGTTTGGTTGGTTTTTGCTTTGTTTTGTACACCTGCTTTGAAGAATAGTTATTCACGTAAACATTCTTCTAGTTTTAATAATAAGGTCTTTTTGTTGTTGGATTGTAAGGGTTCTTTATGATTGTTAATCTTTCCTTATAAAGCACACATTTTTCAGTTATTTCCTCCTGTTCTGTGAGTTATCTTTTACTTTCCTGAAGATATCCTTGTGAAAGCCAGGAATTTTCCTTTCATATCTCACTCACCTATCTTTAAATTTGTTGCCAGTGCTTTTGGTATCACATTTGAAAAACCTGTTGTCAGTTTTCCAAGATTATAAATATTTGCCCCAATATTTTCTTTTAAGATCATAAAGTTTTAGTCTTAAAGTCTATATACGTATCCAGCTTTATACTTTTGAGTTGTGAATAGTCATTTTTCCAACACCATTTCTTGAGAAGGTGCCCACGTTGAATGATCCTCACAACCTTCTCAGAAATCAAGTTGCAGTGGAGTAGAGTTTATTTCTGGGACCTCTGTTCTCTTTTATTAGTCCGTATATCTGGAGTCTGGCCCCTCAGATGCCGCCACAGGGTTTTGTTCAGTGTGGCCGTTTGTTTGTTTGTTTGTTTGTTTGTTTGTTTTGACAGGGGTCTTGGTAAATTTTGAAATCAGAAATGAGTTATTGAACAGATATGTCCAGCCTTTTGACAATTATAACGGGATATAATTATCTACAAAATTCATACTTGAGAGTTCTACAACCAAGTTACATAAAATGAGTTGGAAAAAAAAATTTCCACAGTGTTTGAAGTTGCTCAAGTTGGGCTATATTCATAACCATTCTTGGTCCCATGCTGCTGGCAGGCTGAAGGTTGGACATATGTAAAATTTAAGGTTATCCAGAATCACTTGAAACTCTTCAAATTTTAGAATAAGATTTCTTAGTTCCACAAAAGCAAACTGTAGGCTTAGCTTTTTCAAACACCTATTTTATTTAGGGTTCTTAAACACCTCTGCCTCCCTTCCAAACACCCCCCCCCCCGCCCTTCCATTTAGGAAGAAGATTAGTAGGGAAAGGGGTGATAGACTTCTATCATCTACTTCCTGCTGATAAGGGGTTTGGGGTTCTTTGGGGATTACCGATCTCAGTTGTCAGGATATGAGCAGTCCAGTCAGACAGCAAAGCAACAAACCGCAGCACCAGCATCAGCACCAGCAGCTCCAACAGCACCAGCAGCACCTTCAGCACCATTCAGCAAAAGTGAGGAGACTCCGCCCAAGCCGCGCAAGTCTGCCGAAGCTGCAACACTCCTCCAAAGCAGCAAGAAAACTTTTCTGGAGTGTTTCTCTATAGAAAAACAACGAAGTGATGCAAACTGTTACAAAATGTAGAGATGCCAAAGCGCTGTCTCACTGTGTATGGGCTTCTCTTTATCCCTTCTCAGAGTTCTCCTGAGGATGTTTTCTAGATCACAAAAACGTGCCCCTCGAATGAGGTAGTTGCCAGCTGACAAACATCATGTGTCTTTTCTCGGTGGCTGTTTTGTGTTGGAGGGAAGGGAACACTCCCACATCACACAGTTAGGACCAAAACAAAAAACACATTCACATGACAACTGAGTTTCAAAAAAACAGAAACTCCCACCTCAGCAAACCAAGAGCCATATTGAGCTTACCATGGGATAGCATTGACCTTAAATCCTGTGCCTCCCTTTAGGTGTAGAGTTCTCTTAACAGCATTTTCGCAGGCCATGACTTTGAATTGTTTCTCTATTTGTTTAAATTGTCTTTAATTTATTCTCAGCAACACTTAGTAGTGTTTAACATACGATTATTATTCCCCCATGTTTACATTTATTCCTAGGTGTTTTTGCTGCTGGTTTAGGTCGGATAGCTTTCTTAATTTCTTTTTTTTATTTTTTCAGCTAGTACTTGGAAATACAGATGATTTTTCTTTTGACTTTTGTAATCTCCAACTTTGTTGATTTTGTTGACTTTAAAGGTTTTTGTCTATTTTTTAAGATCTTCTATATACCAGATTCTGTCATCTGAAGAAAATTTTACTTTTTCCTTTAAATTTTTTCTCTATTTTTTTCCTCTCATTAATTAATCTTTAGACGTGCAGTATTACTGCATAGTGAGAGGAGGCCGCTAACATGTATACCTGTCTTGAGGAAAACAAACGTGCAGGCCTTCACGAGCCATGGTGCAACTAGCAGTGGGTTTTTTATATAGCCCCAGCCTTTAAGGCACTTCCTTCCTTCCTAGCTTACTGAGTATTTTGATAATGGGAGGTTCCTGGGGTTTTGTTTTGTTTTTTTAAAGCTTTTTCTCTTATCATTTCTGATGATCGTGTCGTTTTCTTCATTCATTACCTTCATTGATTTTTGTATGTTAAATTAACACTGCATTTCTGGGAAGAGCCCCATTGGTGATGAATTAAAGCTCAAGCATCTTTTATGAAAATGTTTGAGACCAAAAGTGACTCTGATTTCAAGGAATTTTTCCTTCTCTTTGGAATATTTGCACAGCCTGTAGTAGTTGAACCTCCCTGCTTCAAAATTAGGAAATCTGAGAGTGTTTTGAAGATTGTCATTCTAAAAACTTCAG